GCATCCTTGAGGACATGGCCCAGTGGTTAAACATCCGGATGAGGCATGGCACGTGGAACTGGAAAAATCTTCCGGTTGATGAAATACGGGGTTCGGTTCGAAATTCCAACCACCTAAAGAAGGCCGGAGCGTACAACGGCTGAAACGTTGTGAATATGGCAATGAGGATGATAACAGTCCGAATAATATAAACAATACCAGTCAGTTGCGCCATGCGTGAACCACGCTTAGGCGATCATGCATCTTTCGATAATTGACTGCTGAGGCAGATATTTCTTCTGCAGTAGGTTGCAATTACTTTCTTCAGTAAATCATACATCCAAGGCTATAGAAACCGGTCTGTCCTGTTATTTACCCATAGCTGGGAGGAGAAGATGATTCATCCTTTCCCAATGGTATTAGCAAGTAAGTGAATGTAAGGAATTTGACTGGAATTCGATCTCGGTTTTCCGATTCCTCAATCTAAGCCGCTATCCATTACTCAGTGCCTCCTCATAATAATGTAAGTATTCATAATACCTCATCTCAGAAATATTGTCAAGGGTATTGTACTGAAAATAGACCTTGTTGCCTTAAAGTTAATCTTATATGTTCCTGCCTGCCGCTTACAATGTTGCTGCTATCAGGCTTGATCTCATTCAAGAACGCTTTTCTTTTTCTTACTGACTCCTGATACTGTTGGAGAAACGTTCCTGTAATTTTTATTCATCTATTTATCAATTACGCTAATAAAGCATTATTTGATGCTAGGTCTTCTGAGGAGGTCTTTTTCTTTCTAGACTATACCCTGCGAATTTTCAACCAGAGATATGAAGTGATAGGCACTGATCATTTAACCATTCTAAACCAATCAACTAATAGAAAACAACGATCTTGATTTCCTTCCCGAGGTCAATGTACTGAAAATGACTCTAGCTATGTTGAGGATGGTATTTATAGTTGCAATGTGACTAATCTTGAATACAAAACCAAAATTCTCTAGCAATTGCTCCAAGAAATAAGACTCAAAATGAACATTTCCAAAACAGAAACAATGATCTGGAATTTGGAATAAAAGCAGGGATTAATACATACCCTGAATCTGTTGTATAACCTTTAGCATGTGAAATTAGTAAATACAAAATACGTTAACTGTCTCGATCTATGGATCAGTTATAACAAATTTAGTATAGGAGGAAAAGAGATTGAACTTAGAATGGGTTTGCATTAGAGCCGTGTTTCCAAACCGATTCTGAGCCATGCCCTACATTGGTATTTCTAAAATTCAGTTGCCCCCTTGTAATATTTAATTATTACATGCATGCCAATTACACATGTACGTACATACACACAAAATATTTTTTATATGCATACTGTATATGCATCGTATGTTTTAACACACATAAATATTAACACTCTCACTCAAACTCACTAGAAAACAGTTCGCCTTTAATAACTCTTTCTTGAATTGTCTCCCTTGTTCTGTTTGTATAGCAAGCTAAAGAGTGCACATCCTACGCATGCTCCACCAAAATATTATCATGCCCCACCTTTGGGGCATACGCCACATGTTGGGACTCATTGCATGAGTGATATTTTGGCGAACTGCAACAAAAGCCAAAACATTAACCCGAAAACTCGAGTTATGACTTTAAATAGCCTCTTCTATATGAATTTGATTCATGGCGGAAAAACGAGTTTAGAAAGGTTTAACTTGTCATCCCAATTCAGCCTCGTTCTAAGATCAATGTTTGTTAAAATGGCTTTGAGCGAAAGAGGCCTACGGTTCGTGTCGAAGACCATTCTTCTTCGAACATTACGCATTGGCACAACATAATCACAAAAAAAGAATTGCACCAGATAACAAAACAAAATATCACTTGAGGACATCTAATAGTAACAACAGCAGAAATGGATATCACATGTAATATAATCAAGATGTTAATGTTGCACATTATGTCAAACAAAAAGTTAAAGGGTAATACCGCATCTGTACTGAAAAGAATGATACCAGTTTCTCTGTAAAATTGTTTAAGAGAAATATATTATAATGCAAAACGAGAGTAGCATTTGCTGCTCAGTGAATGAATGACGATTGTCTCCTTATAAGGAAACGACTAATATTATCATTACCTTAACCGTATAGAAGCATGTGTGCTAATTGCTTCATTGTTCTTATCTTTCTAATGCATTTATTTAATTTCACAATACCTCCCTACAAACATGGCTAATTTCATTGTCCCACGCTTAATTACGGAATTTCGATGTTCTATATTTCGGGAGTAAATGTTTACAGTTTCATATTGCATATAGCAATATCTTTTTAAACAGTTAACCCAAAGCAAGGCATAGCATACCTAGTGAGATTGAGTAATTGGAAGGTATAACAGGGTTTAGCCTGTTTCATCATCCATTTGCATAGATAACAAAAAAAGCGAAATGTATTAAGAGTTGGACAGGAAAGTAAATTGAGAGAAGCCATAATTGTCAGCGTCCTGAAGGGACGAAGCAACAAAGACGGAGAAAGCATTCACTGCGAACCGAACGCGCTACAAAATATATGGACGAACAAACATGTAACGTCAACGCTTGTTGTACTGTGTATTTGTCAATTTTCACCAGAGATATAACTATGACGATGAAATGTGTGAAACCAGCGCAATAATAAACATTCATAGATCAAGAGAGTATGGGACTCGTTATTTTTTGTAGGTTTGTCCTTCGATAAGCCGTAAGAAAGACTATGTAACTTGTCCGTGATAAACATTCAGCATTTAGTATAAAATGATTTATTTATTCGGCCGAGTCCGATAAGATGCTCCCAGCAGAGACAGAACGCGCATATCAGAGGGCGGAATTGCATGCAGATTGTTATTAGAATAGAACGTGGTGAATCGTTAAAGAGGAGGAAAGTGATAGAATGAAGAAATGAAAGCGGTTCAATAAAGGGGGAGGGAAGAGAAAAGATCGGTAACATATATTAAGCTGGTAGGGCAAGAAGTATTGGCAAATAAAAGAGATGATAGAAAAAGGGGGAAAAAACAGACAGATAGACAAAAAGAAAGAAAGAAAGAAAGAAAAAGATCAAGAATGCAGAAGATATAACTTATAGAGAGAGCTGAATAAAACGAATCCACTAAATTATACAGGCTGAAGCAGAAATCAGAGAAAGAAATAAAGATAGGGCGTGTAGAAAAAGTAACTTATAGCGAGAACTGAATAAAAAAAGAGAATTAATACATACATAAATATATATATTGTTTAATATATATATTATTTATATAATATATATATATATATATATATATATATATATATATATATATATATAAAAGAAATATGTTGTAGTGGTTCCAACGAGAGAAAAGTATGTATATTAAAAAGAAGAGAAGAGAGGTGCCGCAAAAGTTTTTGGTTGTAATGTGGATTTATTTAGAAAAAATATTCTGCTTTGTTTTACATAATTTTACGACACGTGTTTCTGGTCTCGCGACCGTCTTCAGGTAAAAGTGTAATGTGGATTTATTTAGAAAAAATATTATGCTTTGTTTTACATAATTTTACGACACGCAGAACTCTTCATTGACAATTCTAGAAAGAAATTCGGATTACCAACACACAAACAGAGAATGTCTCATATCGAGAATATTTCACATTGAACATGAAGAAAAATTAATTATTTTTAATAATATGTAGAAATCTCCACTTTTACCTGAAGACGGTTGCGAGACCAGAAACACGTGTCGTAAAATTATGTAAAACAAAGCATAATATTTTTTCTAAATTACAACCAGAAACGTTTGCGGCACTCTCTTTTTTTTATATATATATATATATATATATATATATATATATATATATATATATATATATATATATATATGTATGTATGTATCTCATGAGTGTATACATACATTTACATTTATATATATATTAACGTATATATTTTTATCCCCTAGGAACAATTCCCTATATATATATATATATATAAATATATACAGTGTAACCAGGATATAAGAGAGTTGTCGGGACCGGAGAAGAAGTCTCTTATATCCGGGTTTCTCTTATATCCGGGTTTCTCTTATATCCGGGTTTCTCTTATATCCGAGTTTGGTCTATTTTATATACATTAACACAGGCTCTAATTTGGAACCAGAGAAATTCGCTCTTATATCCGGGTTTCTCTTATATCAGGGTCTCTTATATCCGGGTTACACTGTATAATTATAACTGAGTGTGAGGCGTGAGTTATTAACTTGAGTGGGACGTCCCCAATATGTAGTTAAAATAATTTACAATCATTTTTCTAACCCATACACACACGCACGTACATATAGTTTGTGCCTCTGTGCATTGTGTGATTGTTTCAAGTGTAATTAACTTTGTACTCATATTTCCTTTATGTTCTCTGCTGATCTTAAACATATTCCTCATTTTCACATATAAATTTACAAGCAGCTTCTATTTTTAGTGTTCTACAGATAGTGTGTATATAGATGTGGCACGATTTTTATATATGTAGCAGTATGCATTCTGAGGCATCGTTCATCTTTTCTATTTTATATATATATATATATATATGTATGTATATCATACACATTGGATTTAACAGTGCAGTGATGTGCTATAAACCGCACAATCCCACACATATACACTCCTTACAGATGCATGTGTTCTGAGCACACACACACACACACACACACACACACACACACACACACAAATATATATATATATATATATATATATATATATATATATATATATATATATATATATATATATATATATATATATATACAATATATAATAAATACACACGCACATGTATAAATAATTGGCCATATATATAACTGTATATATATATGTGTGTGTGTATAACTATATATATATAACTATACCCAACTCACTGCGCTATTATTATATATATATATATATATATATATATATATATATATATATATATATATAATAACGTTTATCTTATTCAGTTCTTCCTTCATCCAATCCCTCGTCTCAGAATGTTCTTCCTTCTTGTCAGCCGCATGACTGATTTTGATAAGATTTTCGCGACGTATTTGAGTCTCATCACTGCTTCTTTATTTCGAGTTTGTCTTCCTCGCAGACCTTTAATCATTCTCTCTGCGTCTGCTTTTTCTGCTCTCTTTTAGCTCACTATTCTTTATTTTTCATTCATTCCTTCTTTGCAATCATTCTTCCTTTCTCATTTCTTTTCCTTATCACCCATCCTCCTTTTCTCTCCCTCTGATTTATCTTAATAACAATCGTTTTTCTTTTAACTGAGCAATGGCGCCTTCATTTCCTCTTCCATTCATTAATCTTTCTCTGATTGACATACAATTTTACTTCATGGGTTTTAATTTATTTCTCTTCTATAGTTTTCATTTTTAGTTTTCGTCATCTTCCCCCACCCCTTTGTATTCCCCCATTTTATACTGTTATCATTAAATTTAATTTTTCTTGGTATTTTATACGCCATTCTCTCACTCGATCTTTTATTCTCTTTCGCTTAATCATATTCCTTTTCTTTCTCGTTGACATTCATTTTCACTTACTGTCTCTTTATCATTTGTGTATTTTCTCACGTTTTTTTTATTTTCCTTTGTCTTTCTGTTTTTTTCCATCTATTCATTCATTCTCATACAATGTTTCTTTTTTCAATCTTTCATTTTATTCTGCTTTTTTCATTCTCTTCCTCTTTCCGCATATATTATTTTTATTCACATTTTTTCTTTTTTTTTTCGACCACTTTTTTTTCCATTTTCCTCTTCAACCTTCAATGTTGTTACAATCAATCTGTCATTCCATTCGCCCCTTCTGTCTCTTTTATTCCCCTGCTGTCTATTATTATTATTATTATTATTATTATTATTATTATTTTCTTTGATTTCTGGCGTTTACACATTTCTTTCCGGGTCCCGCCCAGGGACCTAACGTTAGAAATGGCGTCATGACACTTTCCACTGACAAAAAAAAAAAAATTACATAGATAAAGCCCTTCGTAAAGTGTGGGCTGTACTTGTCAGAACAATTTTTGTATCTCCTTTAGGCATGGACTTCCAGGAATCCTTCAATTAGTCTACTGCAATCTTTTTCCAACCAGTCCTAGGGCTCCAACTACAACAGGGATTGTTGATGTTCATATGCCACATTTTCGAGATTTCTATTTTTATTATTATTATTATTATTATTATTATTATTATTATTATTATTATTATGCTTTCTGTTGAGTATATTTACTTACCGGGTCATTACACAATTATTATTATCATTATTATTATTATTATTATTATTATTATTATTATTATTATTATTATTATTTTCTTGGATTTCTGTTGTATACACATTTCTTTTCGGGTCCCAACCTGAGACCTAAGTTCAGAAATAGCCGCATGACATTTTTCTCTGTTCATTTTTGTCAGAAAAAAAACAATAAGATCACACACATTTTACATAGCTAATGATCTTCGTAATCTGTGAGCTGTACTTATAAGGACATTTTTTTTTTATATTTCTTTAAGGCAAGGGTTACCAGGAATCCCTTCACTGAGTCTATCGGAACCTTTTTCAACTGCAACTGGAACTAATGATATCCTCGTGTGCCACATTTTTGAGATTTCCATTTTAAGATCCTTGTATTTTGATAGATTTTTGGAGATCTTCAAAGATACATTACAATCTGCAGAGTTTTTTTTCTTCTTCTTCTTCTTCTTCTTCTTCTTCTTCTTCTTCTTCTTCTTCTTCTTCTTATCTTCACCTTTCTGTTGAGCTCAATCATTACACAAATTCTTCTTTTGGTTTCTCCATTTTATTATTATTATTATTATTATTATTATTATTATTATCTTCATCTTTCTGTTGAGCTCATTCATTACACAAATTCTTTTGTTTTCTCCATTTTATTATTATTATTATTATTATTATTATTATTATTGTTGTATTAGTAGTAGTAGTATCTGCTTTTTTTCTCTTGTTTTACTAATTCATACTCTTTTTCATGTTTTCTTTCTTTTTCGTTTCGCCTCTTTGTTTTTCTTCCATTAAGCGTTTATTTATTTCTCTTTTAGTTTTTACTAGTTTCCCTAATTCCACCATCTTCATCGAACCCATTCCCCACCCCCCTTATCACATTTTCCTTCGCTTGTCTTACTTGGGTCTTCTGCCCATCCATTCTATTCTTCATCATTACCTCCTCCTCCTCCCTCGCCCTCACTCGATATCACGAATATCCCTCCCCCCTTATTTATTCTACTTCTAATTCATTCTTCTCGTTCTTTGTATTTTAATATCCTCGAATTCAATCGTCCCAACAACATTAATTCGAGCTTGATATCTTCCGAATGTTTACCCTTGACTTAGATTTCTCTCTCTCCCTTTCTTGTTTCGCCTACTCGTCAGGTCCTCTCTCTCTCTCTCTCTCTCTCTTTTAATTTTCATTATTTACTTCTTCTTATTATTATTATTTAATATACTTTTCTCATTGTTTAACAGTTTTTCTTGTTTTTCTTATATATTATTCTTATCCTTTTATTTAATTCTTGACTGCTTGTACTTTTCATATATCTATATATAAAATTCTGTGACTACCGTTAGTCCGTTCTTCCCTCGGCCCATCACACCCTCTAAAATAGCCATACATTGGCCGATCGAAACCAGATTTTGAGGAGAAGTGAAAACAGGTTAGGGTGTATATGGAAAATTGGTTTTACTTGTACAATAAATTTTAATTCATTTTTATTTATTTTGAAAAAAATAAAAGTTTTATTATGTAACATACACATTTTAAATATTTTAAAAAACAATTTAATATTTTGGTTTGCGATGTTGAATGAAATGTTGAGTTTGTAAATGCCGACAAAAATGTTAGCGATATCTTCAACAATACTAAATATTGTGAGAATTTCAACAAGCATCAGTGTGTTGCAAAAAAAAAAGTCTCTTTTCAAAATTTCAGGTCACTCCTCTTTTTATCCCTAAGAATCAACATTCACTTTTCTTTTAATTCTTTTCTCTATATCCCTTTTTCTTTTTGTTTACATATTCATTCATTCTTTTTTCTTTCTTTCTTTCTTTCTTTCATTCATTCTTTCTTTCATTCATTCTTTCTTTCATTCTTTCTTTCTTTCATACTTTCTTTTTTTGATTGTTTCTTTCTTGCTTTCTTTCTTTACATTCTTTCTTTCATTCTTACATTCTTTCTTTCATTCTTTTCTTTTCATTCTTTCTTTTTCTTTCTTTTTTCTTTCTTTCTTTCTTTTCTTTTCTTTCTTTCATTCTTTCTTTTCATTTTTTTCTTTCTTTCTTTCTTTCATTCTTTCTTTCATTCTTTCTTTCATTCTTTCTTTCTTTCTTTCTTTCATTCTTTCATTCTTTCTTTCTTTCATTCTTTCATTCTTTCTTACATTGTTTCTTTCATTCATTCATTCATTCTTTCTTTCATTCTTTCATTATTTCTTTCATTCATTCTTTCTTTGGTTTTTCATTATGTTTCCGAGATGGTTTTCCATTCGTCTGTTCTTCATTCTCTCTGTCTCTGTCTCTGTCTCTCTCTCTCTCTATCTATCTATCTATCTATCTATCTATCTATCTATCTATCTGCTTCTGTTTCTATTGTCATTCTCACTCAGATTTATCGTGCATGTGTTTCCCTAATCCCTCTCACTTTCTTCAATTCTTCTTTCTTTTCCCTCGTTCTATTATGCATCTCTGGTAGTAATCACAAATCATGCTTATTCTCAGCCACTACTTCACTGCTTCTCGAGAAAGCGAAACACGATCAATAAGATATGAATGCTAAATAGAATTTTAAAACCCCTATTAGGGATTTTAAAACTAATAGAATACGAATATGAAGCATAGTGACATTATAGAAATATACAACAAGAGGTAAATAAAATTGGACAGAACTAGACTTTTCTTTTTCTAACAAAAGACATTACCTCAAACTAAAAACACTGGAATACTATTTAAAGAGGATTATTATTTTTTTTTTTTTTTTGCAGATCGTAAGCCAAATTTTATATTCATTTACTTAGAATCATCTAAATAACTGAACAGCAACTACTGGCTCTCCGTCCATGTGACTGAACCCCCTCTTATTTAGACCACACTTTCATGGCGTACACGTATATCTTTTTGTAATCATGGTGATCCCGGGATTGAAGACCTGCCTTACATCTGGTGCTTGAACACCCAGTATTGAGATTTGTGACCGGATGAGTTGGGAATTATTAAAATACAAATTTTAAAATAAATGAAAATAATATTGATTTTAAAAGGATTTTAATTATTTTAAGTTTCATTATGTTTGCGACATGATTTTCCATTCGTCTTTTCTTCATTCTCTCTCTCTCTCTCTCTCTCAATCTCTCTCTCTCAATCTCTCTCTCTCTCTCTCTCTCTCTCTCTCTCTATCTATCTATCTATCTATCTATCTGCTTCTGTTAACACAAGAACTTCGTGAATTTATTTTTTTTTCTTTTAAATTCAGTTTAAAATATTTCTAAATCTTTGGGAATTGAGGAAATCAGTTTTATTTCTTCCAAATGCTAAGAAATGACAATTAAAGTGAAATGTTTCGTGAAGTGAGATTTTGAAATCCTGCAGAGTTTATGATTTGAAGAATTCAAATCAATTGAAGTTCCACGGAGCTTGTGATTTGAAGAACTCAATTTTCGGCCCGAGTTGGAATTTCGGCCCAAATCGGAGTTTCGGCCCAAATCTGACATTTGGGCCGGAATCGAACTTATAGCCCGATTTACATTTAAAGAGAGATTTTGAAATTCCATGGAGTGACTTGAGGAAGTCAAAGTTATTTGTTCAAAATTATCATTCTTGTTTTCTAAACTGGACCAGAGATCCCTTTAGTGTTGGGCCAGGGTTCCAATTAGCCCTCCGCAAGAATTAGCTTAAGTCTGAACAGAATGCTACTTTTAAGATAGTTATAAATATTGACACATGAAGAGCTTTTTTTGTTAAATCTGACCGTTATATTCATGGAGCATACTAGAATGAAATATACCTTTGGCACAGATTAAAGCCAGAATAGGCACGCCATATCAATACTAACTAAAGTCTTTAATTCAACCTCTTTTAGATATCGTGCGAATAAGACGTTCTTAATTGTAATAGCATAAATCTTTTTCTTCCTGTGCCGTGTCTCTTCAGGACTTAACCGATCATGGCTCCCCACAACCTCCTGTCCCTTGTAGCTCTTAATAAATGTTGTCGTTCTATTATTTCTCCTAAGCACTGTTTTGCCATCCATTTACCCAAGCTCACTAAGTATGTCATGCGCTATTTTCCTCTGTTCCTCTTGCCTTCAACCTGTCCAGTGGGTATAAGATTTTCCAAGCCCCCTTCTCATTATAAGCCTTAGAAACATCAAAGGTCTCTTACTGATGTTAAGTTTTCTTTTTGTTTCAATTTTATCAAAAGCTTCGTCGTTGCACATATTTCTGTAGAACCACATTTCTGTTGCTTCAAGACTCTTCTTCATCAGTGAGGAGATTGTCCAGGGCCCATTGCCATACAGGAGGAGAGATATCACATAAACGTTTAGTAATTTTTTTCATGTTTCTAGCGAAATTTTCCTATTTCTTAATACTCTGCTTAGCTTTTGGAATGCATCTTTGTGTATCCCAATATGTCTTCGGATTTCAGTGTCACACTTTCCGTCCTCTGTTAAGATACTTCCAAGATATTAATTTCGATTATACATTTAGCCATTTTCAACGTTTAAATATATTAATTGTTAACAAGAAATCTACATACAAAAAATAGCTAAAAACATTGGAAGCCTTATTAATAAAAACAAAATAAACATCACTCAATAATATCAACTCTGAACATGGACACAATATCTTTACTGTGTTTTGAAAAGGAAAACATTATATAATACATACAAACAACAAACTATTTCTTGTTTACAGTTAAAATATTTCAACCTTGAAAATGGCTAAATGTGTAGCCGAAAGAGCTCAAAAAAAGGAACAATTGGACAGTTTTTATATAATTTAACATCTGAAAAGAAAAAAAATTATTAGATCATATGAGAAATTATATAAAAAAGTAAATCAAAGCATCTTGTCTGACGTATTCAATGAAATGTGCACGAAAGAAGGATTGTTGCCTATAAACACACATACATTTATATATATATATATATATATATATATATATATATATATATATATATATATTTCTGATATGAAGTATTATGTACATTATTTACATTATTCGGACCATTGTCCTCATCTTTGTCGCCATATTTATTACAACGTTTTGGCCGATGTACGCTCCGGTCTTTTTCAGTTGGTTGGACTGTCGAACTGAAACCTTTATTTCGATCACTGGGGTGGACTGTTCTAGTCCCACATGCCATTAATGGATGTCAGTTTTCAGTTATCTCCTGTTAATTTTCTGAAAATTCTCCACTACCTTAACCGGATATTGAACTTACACATTTTGGGTCCTGTCACTGGATCTAACCAACGCCTTTATCCACTGTGCCATGTGTCCTTGACGACAGTCTACCACGGTGAACGAAATAAAGTGTTCAGTTCGACATTCCAACCACCTGAAGAAGGCCGGCGCGACAAAGATGTGGACAATAGTCTGAATAATGTAAATAATATATATATATATATATATATATATATATATATATATATATATATATATATATATATATATATATATATATATATATATATATTAAAGTTATGGTCTATCATTATTTTTCCGCCTTGTTTTCCTTTCTAGCACCTCCTCTTTCGTTCACGTCGTACACCTCATTCATCATTAAAATGTTAACAGTAATCCTCTATTTTGAGTGGCTCTCAAGAATTTTGTTGGGACAGATCTAGTACCAAATATCTCAACAGGTAGAGTACAGTAACGTTTGATCGATAGATTAAGCATAAATACGACAGAATCTTAACTAAGAGGTCGGACTAAAATGACTCCTTGTGACACTTTCACTAACAGGCGTTAAACATTTACGAAATTAACCGAGAAATAAATGTATCTCTTGGTACATTTATATGCTAAAACGAGATCGTTGTTTAGGAGATTATGACGGCTGAAAGAAGCTTGTCATAGTCATTGGTTTTATTGAAAGTGACGAGGAATGTTGATTTCCGACGTGGAAATGTGAAATGGTGCGAAATCAGGTTGAGATGGATGATAAACTCAGTCCTTAACGATAATGTAACTCTAACGCGTTCCGTCCTCAAGAACAACTTCATACGATTCAAGTAATGTTTTATTGATGGAATTATATATATATATATATATATATATATATATATATATATATATATATATATATATATATACATATATATATATTACTTATATAAAATATATATCGTTATCTCATATATCAAGAAAAGCATTGGGTAAAATTGTATGATGAAATGGAAAAAGTTTACTTGTGGCTCGTTTGGTCCTTCGGGACTTCATTGGACTAAATTTGTTGTCTTGGTAGGACTACACATGCTGACGACAGAGGGCTGCTAGGAATTTTACAATTTTTTTTTTAGTGGGGATGCTCGGAATTTTTGAATTAAGATAAAAAAAAAATTCTAATATTCCCAGCATCACTCTGTCGTGCGCATGTGTAATATTAGCAACATAACAAATTTAGTCCGCTGAAGTCAAGAAGGAAAAAACGCATCACAAATGAACATTTTACACTTTGTCATATATATATATATATATATATATATATATATATATATATATATATATATATATATTAATGCATATTTTTTAAACAAACTATCATTGTTGCAATGTCCGCATAACATATCTAAAACAAGAATTACCATCTTTGTTATTTAATTTATTATTTAATTTATTGTAATGTACTTGAATCTCTGATGATGGATTAGGTAAGACAAAAGCTTAGACAGAATTAACAAAAAAAAACATGTAACAACATGGTTATTTTCTTTCGTGTTTCAGTGATAATGCTAAAAAGTTTATTCCGCAATATGAAAAGAATTTACTTAAAATAAATAGACAAAACTTGTCTATATTATTTAACGAAACATGCATTAATGAAAAAAATGCCTAAATACCAATAATATATATATATATATATATATATATATATATATATATATATATATATATATTTTAGATGAGATATTGTAACTATTTACACTTTTTACATTGGTGAAACTGTTGTCGACATCTTTGTTGTTATAATCACGACGTTTCGGTTGTTGTAAGCACCGGCCTTCTTCAACTGATTAGATTTTCGAGTCGAACCCTTTTTTTTCGTCCACGTGGTAAGATCGTTCTAGTTCCGCGTGTCATGCCGCTTCTAGATATCTTACTTTCAGTTAATTCTCCTTTCGTAACTCGAATCTCTAAGTTTTTTCTTCACCACTGCTGTGGCCACCTATTAAACTAACAACTCTTTGGGTCAGGCCACTGGTTTTCTTCACCTTATGTCTTTATCCACTGGTTCATGTGTCCTTGTAGACCTATATCTCATGGAAGAAATAAAGGTTTCGGTTCGAAATTCCAAACCTCGGTTATAATTTTGTCCCGAGGGGAACGCAGAAAATGTGGAAAAGTTCTAAATTGTTACTTTTTTTTTTGTTTTAATTTTTTTTTTACTGACGCGTCTGAACACACAATCTAGCCGATCTCATTCAATTTGGGATTAAGGCCATATAAAGTTGAATCACCGGTTCCAGTACGATCAAAGAAGTTAAGCAACGTCGGGCCTGGTCAATATCTAGATTGGGGACCGCTTTGCAATATCAGGTTCTGTAAACTTGTGTGTGCAGGTGGTGTAATTGATAATGTCTCGGAATTTTTAATCGGAGAATCGAGTTCCAATGACAGTTGAGTTCGTTATTTTCACTTATGGGCAATTGTATTGCTATATCGCTATTATCTCTGAAAACAATTATTACAATCTAAAAAATAATTTTCTGTCTTTAAATAACCTACAATGGGCAGATAAGCTGTAGAAAATGAATTGATGGATCTCATTCAGTTTCCATACGATCTTGTTTTGTTTATTAACATTTTTAAGTACCCCAAATTGTGATCACAGATCTACCAAGTGAAATGTTAGAATCTGCATGCAATTCTACGGTGGCTGATGAAGCTATCAGTAGATAGACATTTCCGGATTAGTGAATTGTTTTGTCTTTTAATTAAATTAGCCGTTTTTAAATCGAAATTACGGTCAGATTCATCGTTTGCACATCTTCAGGGTTTCTTCTAAGTACATAATTATAACGGACACTGGCGGTTTATACAACCCCTGCGTACTTCTACACGAATATAATTCTATTAATAAGAACATTACATTAGTTCAATGAAGTCACTAAAAAAATAAACAAGAATTTTAATTTTCCTACTTCTGAAACCCAATCGTCGAGGAATTAATTAAAAATAAACACAACCTTCTTTAGTCACAACTTGAATGCGCTTTGG